CCCCCCGCCGTGGGCCCCGGCGCCGGGACTTCGGCTCCCGCTCTCTCAAGTGTGAAACTTTGCTGTGGTTTCTGAATAGGGGCTTCTCACGACAGTGTGTCACAGCTCTTTTGATTTTGGGGGCTGAAGCATGGTCACTTACGTGTGCAGAATTCTTTGGTCTCTTCTGGGAAAGTTTTCTGGGTGAGTAAAGTGAACAGGAATTAATTGCCTCCGGGAGCGTGAAATAGATGAGCCCGAATGACTTAGCTTCCAAAAATCTCCTTGGGATTCTAATTCTATTAAAAAGCTCACCCTGCTGTTCTGAGAGAGCGCTCGCTGCTCTTCTAATAACGGTACGTTGCAAGCATCTGCTTCACTTTGCTGATACAACTGGTGTGCCGGTAGAGTTACAGCGTCCGAGTCTGGTCCATAATTTGAGCTCCACCTACTACATTGCAGCAAGGAGTTACCCAACACACCATACAATTGTATCTGGGCATGTTTTGGTGAACAGAAGTAGTAATGCAAAGCTCATTTTGTGCAAATAAAGGACGGTGATTTTGTTCAGGTAAAGCTTCAGGAGAAGTGAATGGGACTCTGCTTGTGTAAAATGCTGGTGGGCTAAGCTGTATGTTTAATGCTGCTCCATTAAAAAAATAAGTATGTGAACAACTGGCAGTTAAAAGAGGCCATTTTTAGTCCTTTATATTCGGAAAAGAGGATTAGAGGAATTAAAAAAAGCCAAACATAGTTGGAAAAAAAAGAGGAAGTTTTAAATGTGGAAAATTATAGATAAAAGTAGGATATCAGATTATTAACATGGTTACAAAAGACCTCTGCCTGTTGTGAGGAGGGACATCTAGCTGAGGTCGGAATACTTAAATGATACTTCACTCTTATGCTTAAAAATAGTGCCTGGGTTTGCCTTCTGTCTGATTTAATAATTACAGTGTGCTTCAACTGAAGCAAATGCTTGTATTAGTGACGAATCGATAGCATTCACAAGACACAGAGTGCACTAAGTTGCTCCGCACTGGAGGGGAGACTGAAGACTTGGCACGTCATTTCGGTGGAACGGAAAGGCCAGTGTGCAGCTACATGTTGTTTTCTGCTGTGAACAAACCCAGAGAATTGTACAAGTATTGTAAATGGTAATCATCACTCAGTGCATGAAAACAGAGGAAAACCCTCCATCCTCCACTGAATCAACTTAAAACACAAGACTTGTAAAAGTGTGCAAGTTGCTGCAGCTGACCTAAATGCTGGTAATGAAAAAATGGTTACATAAAGTATCTTTCGGTCTTTCTAATGAAAGGAGGAAGTTCTTCATTTTTCCGATCACTTCATAATTTGTCAGGTGTTAAGCTTCATGCCCTGACTGGGAAGAGGAACCTAACTGACTTAATTTAAAACCACAAACCTTATTTTTCAGTTATGGTTTGAACTGAGGTCTCTAGAGATGACATACTGGTGGTTATAATAAATTATGAAACAAGTGTTTTTCATCCTGTAGGCCATGAGAAGAAGAGTTGGATTACTCTTTATTTCCACCTTCATTCCTAATTACTGTGGTGTGTTTTAAGTGTCCTTGAAAGTGAAGGGTGTTTAACATGAGCTTCTGCACACCGCTAGGGGTGGTCTTAGAGTCAGTGTTTCAGTTTTGCTCCGGCGCATGGCTTGAAGCGCAGGCATGGGTCTCTGCAGCGCTGGATGCCGAGTGTGTCAAACTGTGTGGGGCTGCTGTATGTGAACAGAATGAACGTGGGGCAAATGCTGCCTGTGTTACCAAATCAAATGGAGCAAAACTGGTCTTATTCTAGTGCCATTTCAATTAAAGGTGTTGTGCCAGGATAAATATTACTCTGCTGGAATTATGCATGTGAATAAGGCAAGCAGATTGAATTTGGAGGCTCTAAGTAGGCGTGAGACTGCTTGACATCGATGTATCCAACTTCTATGGTGAGTGCTTTCTGCTGCTTATCTTGGCAGTCATTAGATGCGGTTTACATTCTGTATCAGAGCTGCTGAGCAAGATCTTATGAAAATGTGCGTGTATTCTACAATAAAAAAATACATGGAATAACATTTCATAAATATTCATTACATTGAATAGATTTAAAGTAAAAAATAAGGTTTATCTGGTTTATTTGGATTCACTGGTATCAAATGAGTTTGATAATATGTTTAAATAAGAACTCTTGGCTGTTGTGACATCCATGGTTCTTCACGTAAGTTATCAGTTTTGCAAAGAAAATGCATAGATTCTGTACAACTGTTTTAACTTTACAAGCTGGAAAATTTCCTCGTATTTGTTCTTCTCTGGGTCTTGGTGTTCCCTGCATCATGAGATCATGAAAGGATCACAAGTGTGTATTATTGAGTGTTCAGTGTTTGGATCAATGCAAATCCAATGAAAAGCAGTGTGAAAATAAGGTGTCCTGTCTTCCCTTGATGCGTGAAGAGCCGACGTCCCTCAGACACAACAATTCCATGAAAGCTATGAAAAGAATTCGTAATATAAATGGTACTGCAAATGGGAGAACTAGGATTAAAAAATCATCTGCTTCTGCAATGAAACACAAAGCTGTATAACATGCGTGTAGAAATATATGGCATGTTCCTGCACAGAAGAAAATTCTGTATGTAAGGAACACTTTTACACCCACTGATGTGGGTGAGATCTGTGGCATCCACTTCACTATC